TTTTTTTTTTTTTTTTTTTTTTTTGTTGATATTTGACGATGTGAGCATGTTCTAGCCTATAGTCATACACGGCAGTGCGTATACAAGCCTATCTAGTGCAAAAAAAAAAAAAAAACTCATGAAATAAGGGAGAATCATAAATGTCAATTAAAAAGTTAGGATAGATATTGGAATAATCCAAATATTTTGGAAAGATGAGTTAAATATGTATTTTATAAGATTTTATTTAGGAATGATTAAGTGAAGTTTTGAATTATTTTTAAAAAGGAGTTTGGAAAATATATTTTCCATTCGAATTGAGTTTGAAAATTGGCTGCATGTCTTCAAAAGTATCCTATGCGAATATAATATTCTTAAAAAAAGTAAAAAGATTTAAAAGAAATTAAATTTAAAAAAAGGAAATAAAGGAAGGAGAGAGGATGGTGACTTGGACAGCAATTAAGAGAGCAGCCAAGGAATGGAGAGGGAACAACACATTGGACCAATAGGAAAATGGGGAATTTTTTTTTTTTTTTTTAATTAAAGTTAAAATAAAAATGAAATTTCAAAAGTCAAAAAGTCAAATATTCGGACGCGCTGCGTATAAAGCTCGGATGTCTACACGCGTCTTCTTGATGGTTGGCCTTCTGTCCTGTTCTTCCCCTCACTCTTCACCCAATCCCTAATTTTTCTCCACCACCTTCCTCCCTCAATCTCCATTACCAGAAATTATCGCAGTTTTCTCTCTTTCCAACCTGAAATTTAAGCACCAACTCCTCCGTTTTCTCTTTGATTCTTCCTGTTCGGTGAGAATCCATCCCCTTTTTTGGTTTCCCTTCTTAATCCTCTAGGTTTCTTTTTCCTCCTCCTCCTCCTCCTCGGATCGATCCCCCTGATTTGTTGTTGTCAGCAAGGAGACACTTCCCCGAAGCCTCTCTCAGGGTTCGTGTGGAGTTTACTTTCCGTTGCCTTCTATAGTTGATCGGTAATTTTATATTTCTTGATCCGTTTTAGATCGAAATGGATCGCTAGCCTTCGACTTTTCTTTTTGAGTTTCTTATTATTATTACTATTCTTTTTCTCTTGGGGGGTTACGTTACTTCTTTCATCGTCTTTCTCTGCTTGAGATGGTCGCTGAGTCTAGAACTATGGCTGTGTTGTTGTGATTTCTTGATCTCATCGCTTGTTCTTTGAATACTGAAGCCCCAATTTCGGCTTTTTGATTTAACTCCATTTTTTCAAAATGTCGTCTACGGGTGTTGCTGCTCTTTGTCCAGTTCACAATGAGCACTTACTTTCCCCTAATGGCCTAATTACTCCATCTGCTTTGGAATCTAATGAATCCATTTGGATATATGTTTCTGTTTCGGGCTCCACGATTCCTATGCCCATCTTTGCATCCGAATCTATTGAATCTGTGAAGTTAAGGATCCAATCCTGCAAAGGATTTGTGGTTAAGAAACAGAAGTTAGTTTGTGGAGGTCGAGAATTGGCTCGAAACAATTCGTTGGTTCGAGATTATGGTGTTACTGATGGAAATGTGTTTCATTTGGTGCTTAGGCTCTCAGATCTTCAGGTCATTAATGTCAAGACTTATTGTGGGAAAGAGTTTACCTTCCATGTGGAGCGGGATAGGGATGTTGCATATGTAAAAGAGAAGATTGCAAAGAAGGTAAAGGAGTTTGTGGACGTTGATGAGCAGGAAGTTGTGTGTGAGGGAAGGCCACTAGAAGATCATAGCCTTGTGGACGACATTTGTAATAGAAAGGATGCAGTCATACATTTGTTTGTTCGGAAATCGGCCAAAGTTCGGGGCAAACCCATTGATAAAAACTTTGAGCTCTCTATTGTGGCATCAAGTTTCAAAGAACAATGTAAATCTGAGTTGTGTAGGGAAAACAATCAGAAGGAATACAATGATGATAAGGGAAGTTATAGGACAGAGTATGAATATGATAAAGAGATTGCACCAAGGCCATATCCTAATGGAGGTAGTTTTATGGAGCCGATTGTCATTAACCCCAAGATTGAATTGCCAATACCCATTTGGGATTTGGTGAACTCTACTTTAGATGGCTTAGGCCGTGGACATTTTCCAGTTAGGTCTTTGGAGGGAACCGGGGGAGCATATCTTATGTTAGACTCATCAGGAAAGAAGTATGTGTCTGTTTTTAAGCCAATTGATGAGGAACCAATGGCATTGAACAATCCGCGGGGGCTTCCATTGTCACTAGACGGTGAAGGGTTAAAGAAAGGAACTAGAGTTGGAGAAGGAGCGTTTAGAGAAGTTGCAGCTTACCTTTTAGATCATCCAATAAGTGGACACCGTTCGATGTTTGGTGACAATATTGGCTTTGCTGGTGTTCCTCCTACAGTATTGGTCAGGTGTTTACACGACGGGTTCAACCATCCGACCGATAAATCAGTTAAAATTGGTTCCTTGCAGATGTTCATGGAAAATAATGGCAGCTGTGAGGATTTTGGTGCTGCGGCTTTCCCTACTAAGGAGGTGCACAAAATCTCTGTTTTGGATATCAGATTGGCAAATGCAGATAGACATGCTGGAAATATTCTATTGGGAAGAAAAGAAGATGGCCAAACTGTGCTTATTCCAATCGACCATGGATACTGCTTGCCAACAAGTGTAAGTTTTCTATACTTTTAGCAGTGCTATAATCTCATCTCATATATCAGTCGTAGTAATGTGAAACGAAACTTATCCCTCCGTGTCCACATTCTCTGTTGTTTCAGTTTGAAGATTGTACATTTGACTGGCTGTATTGGACACAAGCCAAGCAACCATATGATGCTGAGACATTAGAGTACATAAATTCACTCGACGCAGAGGAAGATATCGCGGTTCTCAAGTTCCATGGATGGGAGCTGCCTCTTGAATGTGCTCGTACACTGTGCATTTCAACGATGCTTTTGAAGAAAGGGGTGAAGAGAGGGCTCACACCATTCGACATCGGTAGCATAATGTGCAGAGAAACGTTGAGCAAGAAATCGGTGATCGAGGAGTGGGTGGAAGAAGCGATGGATTGTATGCTTCCTGGTACAAGTGAAGCAACGTTCCTTGAAAGTGTATATGAAATAATGGACCTCGGCCTGGATCAGATTGCTGCAGCTTCATTGTCCTGATGGGGAAAAGCTAAGATGATTTAGTAATTAATAATAATAATAATAGGTGTAATTAAATATGTGGGTAATATGCACATATGACATATTGATATTATGTACGAACGACGGGACTACTTCTGTTCTGCTCTTTTGTTCTTCGTTATATAGCCGCTAACAAGGATCGTCGGCGGCTTTGTCAATGACAATTCTTTGGTATATCTGTTGCTTATGCTTGTATTTACCCTCCAAGGCCGTTTACCTTTGGAATTTTAATAAATATTTTATCATTTTCTTAAATCTTTCCTCGAATGTGTAGATGATATTATATATAATCAACGGTCCAGGTTGATAATAAATATGGTTCAATTATGTTTGCAAAGCCAAATCCCCTTCCAATGGCTTTTAGGCTTCGTTTACTTCTGGGCATGCTTCGTTTGCTTGAATGCATGTTTCACCCGGGAGGTTGGTTGGACAGGTTAGTGTAGAGCATATTTAGGAGGCTTATACGTTTTATTGAAAAAAGAAACCAAATGATGATATAAGTATCTAAATTGTGGTGTAAAAAGGGTTTCCAAAACAAGCCTCAAAGTTTGACATTGTAAAAGCTAATCTGAATTACAAAGAAGTTGGAATTGGAGAATGGTTTGAAAAGTGATTATGTGCTGCTGAGGAGATGATGATTCAAGATTTTGGATAAAGTTGAAGAGAAACTGTTATGCATAACAGTCACATACATCATAGAGTTGAACCTCTAACAATGTTACTGTTTATTTTGTTCTTTCCAAATCCGTCCTGTGATCCGAAGCTTCAGCTCTTTCCTTTCTCCACCCGAAAAGAAGAGCGCCATGTTTCGTTGTATAATGAGGCCATCGTGGCTGTCTCGAACTTTCTTGTGGTTGTCCCGAATGCTTCGAGGGTTGCCCTCCCATATCAGCTTCCTCCCATTTCCACCCACCTCAAGGCTGTAACTGTAGTTTCGAGCATCCGTTTCGTCCCCCATGAATCGGAGAAACGCCATGTAAACCGGTGCCATACCCAGCTGAAAGGCTTCAAAATGAAGACAGAAATACTGCCCAAAACAGTGAAACACCTGAGCAAACCAAAAATAAGAGCATCAGATGGTTGTAAAAATAACTGAGCTAGCTGAATCAAAACAACAGATACTCACAGTTAGCATCCATGTAGCATTTTCGACTTCGCATGGATTAGCCTTTACATAACGATGATTAAACGTGCATCCAGAATGCATGTCGACTTTGTGATCGTCACGAAGATGAGAAACAAGGAAAGGAATATCCCCATCAACTGGACAGTCTGATCCAGCATAAGGGCAGGTATATGGTCTAAAGTAACAGGCAGACTCGTGTTTGAGTTTGCTGTAGTAAGGCAATATCTCCGGGCACCCGAACGTGCAGAATTTACAAGCCAGTTTAAGCGATTCGGCTATTTTCTCTAACGCTAGACACCTGATATCGCCGAGCTCTTGTCTGCACGTCGGACAACGGTTGTCTACCCTTGTTTTACATGAAGAACAGAGGGTATGACCATTGGGGCACTGCACAATAAAATTGAATTCAACATACATTGTCCAATGCACATCCTAACTACTTCAGCCTTTAAAACTCACTTAAGAAACAGTCTGTTGTCAGCAAAAGAGATGCTCTGACCATTGGATTACTAACAAAAACCCTTCACAATATTCAATCTCATATGAAATAGAGAAACATATGATCTCAGTATTCATATTTTTAGCCACGTTCGTTGGCTAGGAGAACGAATTACCCTTTATAAGACCTCTCCCTAGTCGACATATTTTGAAAAACCTTGAGGAAAAGTCCAAAGAGGGCAATACCTGCTAGCGGTGGGCTTGAGCTATTACAAAGTGCCTATGAACGGGATAGGAACATAAAAATGAAGTAAATTCCTGTCAAATGCAAGGCCGATCCTGCAGCTAGGATAGTTGTGAGGATTCCCACTTCCCCAATTGATGATATTTAGCCTATAATATGAGATAGAGTTTGTGTATTCCTCCTCCTTGTACTCATTAAACAAACCCCAAAAAGGGCACAATTGATTTCAGTTTGTGAACGGAGTTGACTAAAGAACAACAAATGATAACAACATAATGGCTTTTCATTTTTGGTTATGAGTATATGGAACCGCAGGGCCTTAGGTAACAATTTTGACACATTGCAGACTGACAAACGAAAGGCAAAAGAATAAGAATAACAAGAGAAAAAAATAAAGAAAACATTACAAGAACCGATGGATCGACAAAAGGAACGGCCCCATTGAACAGAAGATCAATCTTAAGAATGTAAACCAACAAACCCAAAATTTCAGAACGAATCAAACAGATCAGAAACCAGTGATGCAAGAAAAGGGGAAAAATGGGGGCATGGAAGGAACCTGATGAATTGGGGGATACATAGAATTGGTGCAAACGGGACATTCGAGAAGCTCGTGAACACTTGTGGTGGTGGGATTGTCGTTATTGTTGATCCGAGGCTTGGAAATGGAAGGAAACTGACAGTGACGTTGAAGGGTCTTATCCTCCTCGTCCATCACATCCATGGATGGCACGCCCTCGATGCCATCCAGCTCCATTTTGGCGCAACAACAAAGAAAAACAACGAAATCCGCAACAAGAACCGAAGGAGAATCAAAATGGGTTGATGGGTTTTGATGGGGAAGATGTTTCCGCCATTAATATGGCCGAATTGGGGGAAAATTTTAGAAGGGAATTGGGAAAATGGGAGAATGGGAAGAGCGAAGGAAGAAGAGAGGATTGAAAATGGTTGAACAGAGAGATGAATTGGGTGGCTGAGATTACAGAAACAGGGAGAAGGAAGAATTAAGGTGGGATTTAGAAGGAGAGATTAGTTAATAATGGAAGCTTTTCCTTTTCTTTTTCATTCCCATTTTTCTGATGGGTCGATGTGGATGTGGATTGGGGTTATTATAAATCAACCCAACTTCCCTTCCTTCTCTCTCACCTCTTCCACTCCTCACTTTTTATTATTTCATTCCCAACCATCCCAAAAACTAATAATACAACTAAATAGCTATAATATCAAACCTTCACAATTCTCCGTCTATCATTAACATTAGTTGCAATTGAACAGTTAGGGTTGGGTAGATATAAGTTGCAACTCTATTTTTATGCCCGTCAGTTGACCCAACAAAAAAAATGTGGCCGATCTATCCAAATTTTGTTGAACCCATGTGAGTCTCAAAATAGAACCATTTTTATTAAATGGTTAATTTTCATTGAAAAAGACTCATAATAATAATAATAATAATTGGGAAGATGAATCCATTGTCTATCCCCACCTTGATTTAGTCAACGAAAACAAAATTCCTTACTCCACCTAAATGCCTCTAAATGTCAAACATTTTATTGGTCCAATTCAAAAATATCAAAAAAAAAAAAAAAAAAAAAAAAAAAAAAAAAAAAAAAAAAAAAAAAAAAAAA